TTGAGGGTAAACAATTTACCAGCTGTGCTGTCTCCTTGGGAGGCTCCTATGTTGAAAGAGAACATCTCTGAGTCAGTAGAACACACTCTGACTACTAGAGTGGTGTTAGCCATGAGGTATTGTACATTGTACAAGCCTCAGATCGTCTCTGGAGCATCCTGCAGCTTCTGGTAGTCTGATTGTTGTACCTCTGCGGATGGTATTGAAGGCAGCTGACATGTCAATACTCACTTTGTTCCATTCAAACTCCTTCTTCATTACTACAGATATGAGCATGCTCTGTGCCCAAACTAGGTCGGCACAGCTCTTGCCAGCTTTGTAGGCAGCTTGGAACGGTCCGGTGAAGTTGTCCACAGCTCTCTCTATTCTGTTTAGCACTATCAGTGACAGGATCTTTCTAGAAACATTTAGCAGGGTCAATGGTCATATCGACTTATATTAACTGGGCCGCGAGTTTTACCAGGCTTAGCCAGTGGTGTAAGGATGCCTGCTCCTATTGCTTCAATGTGAATTTTTTTCTCGAAAGACTTGTTGAACACTTTAGCCAGCTCTTCATGAAGGAGGGGGTTGTTCAGGGCTTTCATGACCTCGCATGTTTACATGGTGATTGTTAATTTTATCAATTAACCTTTGTGTTAAAGTGTTAACTTGTTAAATATTCACTTTATCTATCTACTTTTGTTATTTAGTTTATTTTACTTACCGTGGAAGAAGCATCCCATCAATAACACTTGAGACAAGGTCTCTCATCTCACGTCTATTTTCAGGAGAAACACTGAAAAAATTATGAGTAAATATACAGATAGTCGCAAATTTTGTTGTGTCACGGTATTGTTCATCAGGTTTGTGATTCGCACACTAGTAATGATTTGCAAGCCGCTTTGAACAATATTATTTTAAGGTTTCTTGAAAGTTTTGGATTTTCTTGAAAGTTTGGATTTCCAGATGTTATTCTAGGTCACCTAATACTTCTACCTTTTACCCTATCTACCTATCTGTCCTTTCAATTTAGGAGCCTAACCATCGACATTTTTTATAACACTCGAATAACACCTTTTCAACTTAATACAAGATATCTAAACTATAGCGTAATAAAAACGAACTTATAGATCATGCTCCTAAGATCTGCAAGCTTTCCGAATGTTGCATTTAGGTCTCCCTCAGTGTTTTTATCTGTTTTCTTCGCTCTGGTCTTGTGGAAGACTATCGTGTACTGTTAGTGGGAGACTAACTTCTTGAGTCGAACAGCTAGCACCAGGATCCGTGCATAGGTGAGGATTGTGCGATACAGTGTCAATGAAATTAATTGTTATAGAATCCGTATCAAAATAGGCATAGCGTTCTTATCAGATACAAGAGGATGCAATGATCAAACAACTAGTTTTACGCTGAAATAGGTTATTCATAATTACTTAAATGAAGCAAGATCCGTTTCTTACCTGAATGAAAGCGGAAGATCGGTCCATTCAACGTTCGACTCACGAATAACCGCCAATAAATGTTTGCACGGTAATTCTGGGTAAGACCTGAAGTTCAGGCAATCACAATGGACACTCGGACTGACGGTGACCTGGAAATGTGGGTAATTAGTTATTGATTAATCTGATTGTTATTTAATACTCAATTAATTGATAGTAAAGTAAATGTCCAAAATACAAGTACAGGGAGCGTCGACGAGTGTTGTTAAGTAGGGGCGATTGTGCTCGTTATGGGACTACCAGTTATGTGCTAGTACTGAGCGTAAGGAACGCTGGTATGGCTAGGACCCTGGTGGCTGGTATGGCTAGAACAGAGAAGGTACTTAGACTGGGTGGTGTAGCCGGTGACTGAAACGGTTTAAGAAAACATGTGAAGAATGTTTAGGGCACCCTGGCCCTGATAAGCAATTCTGAGTAGTGTAGGTTTATTTGATGGCCTGGAAGTGCTAGGAATTGTTATTATATCATAATAGTCGTAAGGAATTAAAACACAGAAGGCACAAACAAGTTTACTTTGTCGCATAATCTTGATGATACCTGAACATGTGTGAAATTGAACAAATAATGATATACCAGAGCTTAAACCCCTTATATTATGTACTATTAGAAAACCCGTGGTCACAGTGAGCAAGCTAATATTGATAGATGGATCAAACAACACTGCTAGTACCACGCACCAGTCACATAAATCATTATCGGGTGGTAATATGTTAACAGTGTCACAATTAAACTACCGCAACATGGTCAAAAATAGGGTTATTTCGTCACAAAAAAATTATTATAACTCTGTTAGCTCCTTGCTGGCAAAATAACTAGTTCATTGATTACAAAGTTACATAGTATTCTAATAGAGTTATAGATCTTCAAAATAGAGGCAAGACATGTTTACTTTGCCACATCAGTTATTATAAGAGTTAGGTAATCGTCATCAGATTAACAGATCTTTTTTTTGTAGTTTGGATAGATTAATATAGGCAATTAAGCATCATATGTCAATTTTAACACACTATCTTGATATTGTTGGGGCAGGAAAAGTTAATTTTGTCACATTTTTAGTGACTTTGACAAATTTAATCTAAAATTGTTAAACTTGAGCTCTGATGTTCTAGACAATATTCTACCAATCGTTTCTGAAAGAATGCTGAATTCTAATAGAGTTATAGATCTTCAAAATAGGGCAAAACATGTTTACTTTGTCACATCAGTTATTATTAGACTTAGGTAATCGTCATCAGATTAACAGATATTTTTCGTAGTTTGGATTGATTTATATAGGCAATAAAGCAGCCTATAATAATTTATACACACTATCTTGAAATTGTTGGGGTAGGAAAAGTTAATTTTGTCACATTTTTAGTGACTTTGACAAATTTAACCTAAAATTGTTAAACTTGAGCTCTGATGTTCTAGACAATATTCTACCAATCGTTTCTGAAAGAATGCTGAATTCCAATAGAGATGTATGAAACAGTGATAGTGAAAAATCGTGATTGATAGAAGCTGGAGTAGAGTTGAATGGTGAAGGTGTTCTAAGTGTACGTATATGTACCTTGTTTTTGATGAAGCTTTAGTGGGACACGAATGGATGGAGACATCCTGATCCGGTAGATTTCCACAAAATGGTCAACCCAACAAAAACTCGGCAGTAAACCTGAAATTGTTAACGAAAGCACAAATTGACTATTGGCGATGAACTTTAAGTTTTAATCACTCGAAATTAACATGCTATACCTTTGATCATGAATCACAGACTTTTAATCGAGTAAATAGTGTAGTCAAATATGAAGTATAGAATAACTGAATAAGGTGTTATTAAGGCTAGACGTTAACTGAGCTTGAAGCAAACTACTGAGGATATAGAACCAGCGCAGCACTCCTGACAGCAAAACCAATTTTGCAATTTATCCAATGCGAAAATACGCATTAACAGTTAAATGAAAAAAGTTTGGGCGAGCGATTTAGTGAGCGCGATCCGCATATGGAGCTTGGAGCTAGGACAGTGCGTGCATTTTGGGACCACTTGCATGCATTGTGAAAATTTGGTTCATGGTCAAGTACAGACACGAAATTGTGCTAAATCACTCAACACTCGGACTTCAATATTCAATATTTTTAATTGTTAATTTTCCTCCATCGTTAATTAGATAGTAAATAGATAAATAGTGCCGGATAGGCGCGCCTGGTAAACATTAAGTTGGTACCGTTACATGACACATTATTGATTGCTAACGGATGATAAGAGATAACCAGTCTCAATATCATTGACATATAATCGCTGCAAAGAGCTAGAGTGACCTGATGACCCACTAGTTGTTAGTGTTTAAAAACTATTATAATTAATTGACGATGTCAATTCATGGCAGCTCGGCGCGGCACAGTAGCGCATCTCGCAGATCTAGTCGCTGTGAGAAGCCTTATTGAGTGCGCGGCGCGGCACAGTAACGCATCGCGCTACAACTATTATAAGTACAGGGTGGCCTAAAAGTAACTGCCCACACGCAACCTTTTAATAACTTACGTAATTCCTTTCAGAATTGCACAAAAATTTCAGAAAATATAGATCATGGGTCAAAGTCCAACTTAGATTTCCTGAAAGTTTCGGAAAATTTCATAGATTATAGAGGGTCGTGGCACGCCACTCCCTCATTTTCACTATTGTCACCATAAAGTGATAACGTTTTCAGCTATATTATGTATTATTAGGAACTTCAACGTTTCTAGACACATTTTGTTTGATAATTGAAGTGCTTTCCCAAAATTTCAAGTTGTTTGTTCACAATTTAACCGAGTTATACTTATGGCCCTTTTAAGATCTTTCAGATACGTGATCCTCGCACTTAATCAGTGATTTCGTCACCCAATCAGTAATCTCATCGGGAGCTATTCGCTAGCGTGCAATAATGGGCCTCATTAGGCGGTACCGAGCATGTTGGGGATGACGATCTGATCACTTTGAGTGAATACTGATAGTGACATTCCTTAATGCTTAAAATTAAAGAAATTTGCGTAATAGCGCTTCGGTTGCTGTCCTATAAGCAGTATCCAATCAATCAGGCAATTGATTGAGTGAATATATCACTGATTAAATGCCGGATCACGTATCTGCAAGATCTTAAAGTGGTTGTAACTTGACTTAGTTGTAAACGATCGATTTGAAATTTTGGGAAAGCACTTTAGTTATCAAACCAATTGTGTTTAGAAACTTTGAAGTTCCTAGCTGAAAGTGTTCTCACTTTATGGTGACAATAGTGAAAATGAGGGAGTGGCGTGCCACATCCTCTTAAATATCAATGAAATTTAACGAAACTTTCGGGAAATTTAAGTTTGACCCATATCTATATTTTCTGAAATTTTTGTGCAATTCTGACACGAATTACGTGAGGTATTAAAGGGTTGCGTGTGGGCAGTTACTTTTGGGCCACCCTGTAGCTGATTTTTTGGGAATTATCAATTATTATATCATATTTTCAAAGTGTTATTATATCGTACTTCAAAGTGTAACAATGAACAAGAAAAAGTCTTATTTTGATTTAACTTTAAGTTACGTACCACCAAATAACAAATATCAAATATATGAAAAATTAAATTTACATGTCAACAAAATAAATAATTGGAACACACTAAGCAATTTCACTCCTACAAAGCTATATTTTTCAATTTCCAAACACATGAAAACAATCGACTATGACAATGCAACTGTAAATGGAAATGAACATCACACTTTAATCTAATTGCCACTCAACTTTCTTAATCATTAACTACAAGTAGATAGCAATTTAATTTCCAATGAAATACTAAATGGGACTTACAAATTTCCAATCGTTAAGGACCAGCCTATGATAAGACACATCCCTAAAAACATTTGATACCTGCAGTCTGAAATTTGCGCTAACCTTTAATCTTATGCTGTAAGCGTTAAGTTTAAAAATTATTATTGCTAAGTTGTAACATGTAAATCACACTATGCAGCACTTTAGAATTAGACTTCATAAACAAATGGCCACGACTAAATTCTAAACGTTTTCCTCTATCTATAATCCTTGTTCATTATCTATGATCTATGAAACATTACATATTCTTTGCACCTAATTCGATTAGTAGACCTATTCAATCCTAAAGCTATTTCTAAACGAAATTAGCCTATATCTACAGTCACTCTTAATTCTTGAAGCGAAAATATGAATTCCTCAAACGAAAGACAGTAGATCGCTGAGCCTGTGAAAGGCGATGTTTTGCGAAGCCTCGATTCCCTTCACCAGCGCAGGGGCACCTGCCGGTGATGATTCCGGACCTGCAAGCCCAGTTTCCTCTCCTTCCATTGGTTCACTGCTGTCATGCGACACCATCTCCTGCTTAATGATTGGCTGACTCTCATCACGTGGAGATGTGTCCTCCACTTTTATTGGTTTAGAGGACATGTCGGATGTGGACTCGGGAGGTTTCCGGACCTCACTAGTGTTCACAGCGCCTGAAGAGAGAGAGAAGGGTAAGAGCGAGCTAGGGTAACGTGTGAAGTCACGTGGTTTTAAGTTTTACTCCCAGTAACGTGCCCTATCTTGAGGGGGTACACTTCCCTAGTCTGCAGGGACAAGTCCCAGACATCCCGGATATGTTCTCTCCCAAAACTTGTAATCCTAACCTACACCCGGTTCAACAAGACTAAGATTGTGATTAATGCTGATACGAATAAAAACCCAATAAATTGTAAAACTGAAAAAGTTCCAATAAAAGTTTCTCAATACTACTCACTGGTGGAGTAAGCTGCGCAACTTTGCATCGGACCAGGGAAACCATTGTGGGTAAGTTTACCTCCTCCAGTAGTCAACTTCAATCCGGGAGCAACAGTGGAAGCGTTCTGGTTGGCAAGTTGAAGGAGTTGTGATGCAAAATCTGTGGAGGGTTTGAAGGAGGGACTGTTGAAGAGAGAACTCTGGGTTGGCAAGTCTCCAATTCTGGGGAACTGTCTGAACATGAGAGGAGTGAAGGACAAAGAGGTGGAGGGGGTGGCTGCAGGGGTGAGGAGTGAGGAGGTAGTGCCTTGCTGTCGGAGTAGTGGGTACAGATTGTTCGAGAACAGATTTTGTGACGTCTCCAGATTGTTCTGGAGCCGTTCTTGTTCTGGTTCGCTCAGTCTTCTCTTCTTGAGAGGCGGGAGAGAGGTGGAGGTTGGTATTTGTGGGGCCACGTTAGTTTGTGGTGATGTCACGTTTCCAAGGTATCGGGATATGACATTCAAGATGGTATCTGCTGCTGGCGATTGCAATCCCTCTGAAAGAAAGAAACAATATATCAGCACTTGATTTGTAATAGTTCAGTTCCATTGAGTCAATAAGATCAGAAACGTGTAACCTATCATTAACAAGTAACAAATCTAATTTGAATTTGAACTCACCGGCAACTAATTTATTAACCAAATCTATAATCGGCTTGATTTTATCTTCTTGCATTTTGTTAGAGTTGATAGAACTGTTAGTGGCTCTGCGCAGTCCGGAAGAAACTGTAGACATGATGTTGTTTGAAGGCGTAGTGATGTTGTTTGATGATTTCACGGCGTTGTTTGATGACGTCATGATGTTGTTTGATGACGACATGATGTTGTTTGATGACGTCATGAAGTTGTTTGATGATGTCATGAAGTTGTTTGAAGACGTCATAAGGTTATTTGATGACGTCACGTTGTGCTGAATGATTTTGTTTTGAACTATCTTGTAGGAGGAAGGTGGAGATGTTTTGAAACAGGAGCTGTTTGAGGGATTGAGGGATCCTGCGTTTGATAGATGGGGATTGAGGGATCCTGCGTTTGATAGATGGGGATTGAGGGATCCTGCGTTTGATAGATGGGGATTGAGGGATCCTGCGTTTGTACTGACAGTTCCAACTTTACTGCTCTTCTTTCCCTCCTGCATGGAAGCTAGCAGTTTCAGTAGATCTTCTGTTGAGACCGGCTGGTTAAGCGACTTTTTAGCGGAGGTTGTTTTCAGATGCTTTGGGCCGACCATTGACACTCTTGAGTTCAAATAGCTCTGAAATGAATTAGTATGTTAACAGCCGATCGCAATATGTTTTCCAAGAATCGCGTTTTTGACCCAACACCCAAGATTGAAAGGTTATTTAAATATGGAAAAAAAACTATGCATTAATAATAGTAATGCATAGTTTTTTTTCCATATTAATAAAATTACAGACGATTATGTATTTCCAACGTGTCCAGCCTGAACATGCTCAGCTATTAACTAATTAAATCGTTAAAACTTAAAACAGATGTAAAATGTTTTATTGAAATTACCAGCTGCGAAGTGGAGAGATTTGTTTTGCGCTCCTTTTTAACTACATTTTCCACTTTTGGTTGGTTCCAAAGATTTGTCCGTTCAGGAAGACCGTCAAAGAGCATCGCTTTGTTACAGTTAAGGAATGAGTTGCTTCCCGGCTGAAAAATTAAATCATTAGTGTTATTGTTTAGTGAAACTGATAGTCGGCCCGCGCCAAAGACAAATCACATTATATTCAAAAAGACTCTTATGTCTTTCGCAATATGATAAGTTGGTGATACTCACGTTATGAATGCACTCATTATACTAATGAATAATAATGTTTTGGTCGATATACTTCATTAAGACACAAAACATTTTGTTTCGTATCAACCGGGAAACCCGTTCAAACCTATAAATAACATTAATAGCAAAACCATGGTTGCGGAAAAATCATCTTCAAAGTTACTCCGGTGTCACGTTTTTTCACTTTCGTCTACTTGTTCAATAGGTAGTTTAAAATGTTTAATAGCCACACTCAGTTTCAGACAAACTTGGTAACAAGGAATTAAATGCTTACTGATACAATGTGATCATTGTCGTTAGATTATAAAAATATAACATCTTATTTTTGAATCTCAAAGTAGAATATCCCCAATATCACACTAAAATAGTTTTGTTGCACGAGGACCGCTTACTAGGGTCAGTGGTGACTGGTTATGGACTTAAAGCGGAAACAATTCAACGGTGGAAATGAAATTGAAAACCAATACTGAAATTATTTCTAAGAATAATCGATTTCAGAATGAGGGTCAGTTATGTTTTCCTACTTTGCTGTATTGCTATCACTTCACCCCAAGAAACGACCAAGGAATTACTGGATACAGATACATACAATGGAATACTGGACGACTACACATTCATTGCCATCTTATTGGGGACCGGCACGTGTCTGGCAATCGTATTTTTAATCGGCATCATACTATTGTGCGTAAAGGTGGGGAACGATTTGTACAATTCGGCAGAATTCCAGATTCAGCAAGCGGTGCAAGTTACCCACCCCAGGTTAAGGGAGGATTCCAGTAGATCTAACAGTTTGCCAACACCAAAAATACTAGGATTTGTTATTCCAAAATAAAAAACACAGTCATATATGAACATGGTCTTGAAGTACAAAGTTTAGATGCACTATCAAGTCAGATTGGATGAGTGGTGAAGTTTTCAGATTTCAGTTGGTACTCAAGCAACTTTTATAGTTGACTGGTTGTACCATGGACAGATAATTTTTATTTTTGTCATTAAGACGATATTTTCATGCCAGATTTATTTAAGACAAAGATGCTATTACATAATATTGTGAGATTATGGAAACAATTCTATTATTCTTTTTAATCGCAACTGAAATCTGAATACCATTGTTCTTCAATATATACAATTAAAATTGTTACCCATTCAAGTTTTTAAATCAAAAACAGTTAATTTTCTTAAATTATAGTATACCCAGCCCCCAGGATATCGCCTCTGCTCACACAAGAAAGCCAAGCTTTCTCGGCCAGCAACAGATGAACCTTAAGGTCAAGTGTTTCTACCCAGAATGTAACTGCTGACCCCCCAGAACCCCCCCCCCCCTCATAACCCCACCATGTCCTCACCTCACTGCCACTATCAGTAGATCCACTGGAACTGTTGGTCTCGGTCTCACTTGAGCTGCTGGAGTGCCTCCTATCTTTCCCGTTGAAGTAGTACACCTTGTTGTCTCTCGACCAGAGCGGTTTGGTTGTGTTTTTCTCAGCAGGTTTTATTGGACTGGAAGTGTCCAGACCTTCACCCTCACTCTGAGTAACCACATAGCCTCCGTTAGTTCCTGGAAAGTAAGGGGTTCGTTAGAGGCTGAGGTTAACAAGCTTATAAAGAATTAGTGAGATTAGGATAACAATAGTATAACTCTGAAGATTATTTTTAAACTTATTAACCATCATCTTAACAATAGCTATGGACGATTCTCAGAAAATAAAGAGACGTTAGCTGGTATTTACCCTGAGCTTGTTCGCAGAACTGCTGATGCCACCTGACATTAGTGGAGTGGAGGAACATTGTACCGCACCCGAGACACTTGAACCTGCGACAACATTGGTCATTAGCACAACAGACACTTATAAAATATGCGAATCTTAAGGCGCGAAAGAAGGGGACATCAAACATAATATTAAAACATTATACAGGATGTGTTATAGAAATAGCACAGAGTTACTACAGCAGGAACTTTAAGTAAGAAGATTAAAAGAAACACTACCTGACTCCGTGTCTGGTGTGAGACTTGAGGTGTCGAGTAAGGTGCGCTTGTTGGACGAACGCAGTGGGGCAAAGGTGACACTTGTAAGGTCGGGTCTGTGGAAAACACGGTGGTTATAATTATGTAATTGATCAGTTAATTTATCAGGCCATTGATTGGTTTCTTGGTGGGATATTAATGTTGTATCATCGATGGAACTGTTGAAGTTAAGTAAGAATGCATTAAAACATGATAATGAAAAAGAGACTCACGTTAGTATGAATAAGGGAATGCCTTTTGAGGTCTGATGAAGAGTTGAACCTCTTTCCACATTCTTTACACTCGTGTTTTCTCTTCTGGTGCGACAACTCGTGTTTCTGGAATAGGAGAGTTCGTTAAAGCGATGTGGTAGAAAATGCAGTTAAAATGATGGTCAAATCAATTATTCAACATGAACCTTGAATAGTTGAACCATAGTGATGAATAGTACAACTTTTGACGTTCCACATAATTTAGAACTCATAATAATTCAGTCATGACAAGGGAAGCACCTTTACAACAGTAGCTTGAGGCTGGACAGGCTTAGTGCAACTCAAAATAGTGCTGAGAAACTCAATCACCATCTCTGATTCGTTCTTCATCGTAATTTCAAGAGGCTAGCAGGCAGATTAAGGGAAAAATTAAACAACTAAAACCCTCGTGACAAAGATAATGGACGAAACTGTCTTGAACGCATTAACACTTAATATTCACAGATTTGGTGAGATAATGTGTTGTTGTTTGTGTGCTAGGTAAACAAATCAAAGTGTATATATTAGCACTTCAGCACTGGTACAAGGCGTGGCGAGCGCAACTCTTTGTTTTATCTGAAGCGACGAGGAACGTTTGCTCTCCTCAGCTTTGTATACTTTAGACCACATGATATGCATTATGCAGCTCCAGCGGCTGCTTGGTCCCCGGCGCGACCTGGGGCTTTGCACGTGCGAGATTTAATTGTTTAAGCTGGTAATTAGAAGTCAGGGTGAAGTGCGTAGCGGCATGATCGTGTGATTGGTCAGCTTAAAATAGGGCAACTTAGAAGAGCGTTGAGAGCTATTTTGGAACGATGCGAGGTGTTTTGGTCACGTGATATGCTGAGTAAACATTGAGAGTAATCCTTGCACTCCGAGCTATTGCCGAATATTAACGCTTGAGTTGGCATGACACTGTGTACAGACACTATACAGAGCACGTGAACGCGTTTATATTCTATACTTTAGAAACTCCAACGCGATCAATCGATAATCGTTAGTTACTTTAAAACCCAAAAGCATATACTTCAAAACAAATTGTCCTTGTTGGGTATGGGTACTGAATACCATTAATATAATAAACTTAAGAACCTCACGTAAATTTCAAACGTCAAGTGCCCCCCGAGTTTTCAACGGGTTATAATGGACCACCCATAAAGGATACTCTCACAGTAAAAATAGGATGAAAGTAAACAGTACTGACCGTGAGGGATTTAGCGTCGCCAAACGTTGCTCCGCACTTGCAACAAGGATGGAACTCATTTCCTCCTCCGAGTAGAAGAGATTTGCCGGACATGCTGGCTAGCAGCTGGTTGTAGAGGATATCACTACTCAGCATAGCACTTGTCATTCTGCGAGGGGTAATAAAGGAGTAATAGAGGGGTAATAAAGGGGTGAAGAGGTAAATTTCATCGTAGTGAGAGCGGGATGTAAAAAAACAGAGAGATGATTCTGATAAAATCTTGCTATTTTGTGAAGGAATATCAAGCAACTTTGTTGTTGCACAAAATAGTTTGTTTATTCGCGCTTCGCAGGCTATGAAAGGATTTAAGATAATGTATGCAGTTCGAAGAACATATTACTAGAAGAGAGGTAGGAAATGGACTGATGAATACTTGAGAACAAATGCAGTGAACTATAACTATGGTAAAAGTATCTGACTAAACTGTACCACTACCACGAAGACCAAGTAATTGGCCGTCATCAAAAGTGCTCATGGAATCCTTAGGGAATCGGTCGCGAGGGCGGAAGTCGCGAGGGCGGAGGTCGCGAGGACGGAATACCCAAGGGCGTAGGACTCAAGGGCGGAAGTTTCCTAAAAGGCCGCCCTCGAGTCCAACCTTTTAGGAAACTTCCGCAACGCTTCAAGTAAACTGAAGGGTTGCATGTAAAATTTGATCATGAACTATACAGATTTTTGACGTTCCCTAATGAGAGACCCCTACTTGGGGGCACGAGTTTGCCGAATGAACACTGCAGTCTCACGGTCCACTAACAGTAACACTATCAAACAAACAGAAATACGGGGTAGACAAAACAGACTCGCTCCCCACCTTCCCACCAACAGAACACCTTCTTCCCCGTACGGTGATTCCAGGCAACCAATCCCACAGCTGATCCACCACGACCTCCGGTGATTATGTTTAACTAACTTGCAACTCCAGGTCACGGAGTTTAAAAGACTTTCCAAAAACATATGTTTAAGGGTTGTAAACCAGAGGTCAGGTTAATTACTGGCAACAACAAACATGGTCTGAGAAATTGGGGCACGAACAGAACGGTCAACAACCGTACACATCTCAAAGGGAGAAATCGGAGCAAAGTTCTAACGATGAAGAAGTGAACAAACTACGATTTTTAAACAATTACTCTATCGAATATGTAGAGCAGGTCCCAGCAAAAAGGTTCCGTGGGGGAATGTTGAGGGCCTATGACCGGAGCCCCGGTACGCGGATGTGGATCACGTGTTGTTCGCATTGCGAGGTCACGTGAAAGAGAGAATTGCACGTGACACGAGCTGCAGTCACGTGATGTGCTCGTGTGTCCGACTGACAAGCTCGCAGGCTAGCCATGACCGGACCATGGAATGTTAGTATCCTACCGGGTGGAAAAGTGGCAGTGGATTTTTATGAGCTTGAAAAAAACTTTTATAGTAAGTCTTATCTAGATATTTATTAGTAGCTCTTATCAAGTTTTCAACAAGTTTATTTCTTTAACGTTAGGCGGATATTTGTCACGCAAGACTAAGATAATTGTAGATAACAGTCAAGTGCAAATTTGGACGGTTTCCTTATTCCTACGATGTGCCACAGAAATTGACTGATATAAAAATTACAAATAACAATTTTCAGTTACATTTATATAACAAATTTCATCTGAGAGCGACATCAAAGAAACAGTTACAATATATTAAGTTATCAATGTCGCTCTTCTTCTTGAAAGAATCAATCACCATAGCTAATATAAAACTTGATATGGTTAAAAGTCGTTAAATTGCAACACTTTATACTGATAAGGCTTATCAGAGTCACCAAGTAAAACGGTTTAATAGCCATTTCTAAGAAATAAAATAAATTCGCTCTTGTGTTTGAGACGATCTCATTGATAACCATTTTTTATCTACACTCTTACGAGATGTATAAATTTATCCAATTTCATGGTCGTTGAAATTAAATGACAGCGCTTCACACTCAATGTCCACTTATCACATTTACATTACACGTTTGGTTACGGAAGCTTAAGTAAGGGGCTAGTGTAATGATTGATATATCACAAAAATCAAGATAACAGTTCATCACTATGTGTTATTATAGGATTATGTATTATGTAAAGAGTTATAATATTGTGGTTTCAAGTTCACGGAGGCAATCATTTATTATATTGCAATCATTTATTATATTAGTAATTGGTTTTGAAAAGAAAAGAAAGGGCAAAGAATAATCGGAAAAATCTTGGAATATTTGTTACCGCCGCCGGCCTTTTAGCTTAAAATGTACAATTAACTAAGTCACATGAAATCTACAGACAAATCAACAATAGTTTATAAATACAAACATCAACCAATTCGTCAAAAATATAATGTAACAATTAAGTTACAATCAGTTCAAAGCGGTCACGAAACTGCTTCACAATCTTTTCAAGATATAACTGCGTTTAAATGAATCTGACATGATCAGTAAATGAGTAAAAGGCAAACTAGCATAAGCTGTCGAAGATAATTGAATATAACTGTATACGCTCCGCTTTGAATCGTGATAATACAGTTGATTTCCAGTTTACACAATGTACTAGTAAGATCAAACATTGTCAATCTTTTGTTTTAAGCTTTACCAGGGCCTGTTAATAATGTGTACTACTTGATTGACGTTACACTAACCCAATGATAATGACACAACCGCGCTATATACAGATTAATGCATTAATTATGTATTACTATTGTGTTCGACACGATCTCAAGGACTGTTTATTCAATCACCCATATATGCTGTAAGACCAGTTAAAATGTGCTTCAGTTAAGCATAAGGACGAAATATTGATTGATGAAAAGATAGAAATCTTTTGGACGGAGGTCGGAGTATGAGCACCATTACTCACAAGTGTAGAGACTGGTGCCTCTATTCTCTGAACACAAGAGTAACAATGGTGTTTATAATGGTGTTTATAATGGTGTTTATAATGGTGTTTATAACGGCTTTTATACTGGATGTAGATTGATGCTGGTCACTAATAACAGGAAATAATGAAGGTCGTGTTCGATAAGAAACAACTGTGTTTTATAAAGCATTAACCATGGACTTCTGATATAGTGACTCACAATATAAAGATTTGGAGTTCAGAAGAGAATTGAGATAAACTACTCCCGGGTTTAGTTCATGAGCCGGTTTAGACAGTCACAACCAGTCACAACCGGTCACAACCAGTCATAACCAGTCACATTAACCAGTCACAACCAGTCACAACCAGTCACAACCGGTCACAACCAGTCACAACCAATCACATTAACCAGCCACAACCAGTCACAACCAGTCATAACCAGTCACATTAACCAGTCACAACCAGTCACAACTAGTCACAACCGGTCACAACCAGTCACATTAACCAGTCACAACCGGTCACAACCAGTCACATTAACCAGTCACAACCGGTCACAACCAGTCACATTAACCAGTCACAACCGGTCACAACCAGTCACAACCGGTCACAACCAGTCACAACCGGTCACAACCAGTCACAACCAGTCACAACCGGTCACAACCGGTCACAACCAGTCGCAACCGGTCACAACCAGTCACAACCGGTCACAACCGGTCACAACCAGTCACAACCGGTCACAACCGGTCACAACCGGTCACAACCGGTCACAACCAGTCCCAACCAGTCCCAACCAGTCACAACCGGTCACAACCAGGGTTTGAATAAGCAAGGATGGCATGACGTAACCATCATGGCTAATAGTTGAACAAAGTTGAATTGGAGACAGAAGATGAGGGATGGAAGTGGCTATAATGAGGGAGGCAACTTGTCAATCTCACTTCTGAAGACTAGTCCTGAGAAAAAGGTCATGTGATCATGTCCGGTCTGCTAACATTGTGTTTCCAGTTTCCTGACAACCACAATTCACAAAAAGTTTGTTTTCAATGATTGTAAATATTGAACGTGCGAAAAGGTTCAAGGTTGTTATGAAATGTTTTGTAGGCGGATGGTTCAGGTTACAGCGAGGCAACAGTTGAGATTGAGATACCATCTTTTTTCATAAGGAGTAAACAATGCGACTCTTGGATGTGATCAAATGAGCAAATGGAATATCACGGATGTTCAACTGTTCAATAATGTTTCAATCAAAATTTCCATTAAAGTTGCAGAGTAAGTTTCCTGAACCGAGGATAAACTAACCTTCATAACAAGAAGCAAATCTAAAAGATTCATGAAAATTGTTGCTTGCACCAAATCTGAAGAAATCACCCAACATGGAAATCTTCAGAGTACTACAAAAAAACAACAATGACACAATGCTCCGAAAATAAACAAGATTGAAATTATGACGCTGTCTGTCTGTCTCCTTGAAAATGCAGACAGCAGTTTTAAATGACGAGCTTTCACATTAGCTCCTTAATCCTGTGTCTGTCCCTGACATCCGGGTCTCACGAAATCAAGTCGACCAATCAGCAATCAGTATAGCAGCCAACTAGCCAATCACTGCAGGGTTACCAATTCACGTGACTTATTGTTTACCGATAATGATTCACAAATCATCTTTTAATAGAAATTAAGGCCTGCAATCAAAGGTCTGGACACGTGGTCATGCACGAGCCAATCAGAATCAGGCTTGGGCAGCTGTTTGTCGAAACTTGAGATATTTTTGGCTTCACAACAATTTTAACTTGATGACTGTATAAGTGTATACTGTATACTGTAACATTTAACACATGTCAAAAAGGTCGATTTCAGTGGTGATAAAAAGCGATCATTCAAAAAGCGACCACCTAAATCGTGGAATCAAGTTATTTTTTAAATGTGAAAAATATGAACGAAGAGATAATATTTCTCAAATTTTACCCTGACACACTTACCCTGTCTGACGCACTAGTAGAAGTACCAGTAGCTGAGTTATACAGTTCCGTCATGTTGTTCTTCCGAGAGGCTGAACAAGGCCCCACTATCACGTGACAGCTAATCTGGAAATTATCAATCATCAGTTTTATCCGCTCAGATTATATTTAAACGTCCATTTTGATTTTCAAGCGAATCAAATGTTGAAAAATTAACTAAAAGGTTCATGGAAAGTAAAAGAGTAAAAACGTTGTAAAAAAAGAAGTTTAGTTAGGAGGCCCATGCTACGCGTATCTT